TTTTTTTTTTCCTTCTTTCATTACACTATGTTTGCTTATGTTAGTTTCATATTACAGATACTACAGTATTTGTATTATTACAGATACTGTACTACACATATTTACTTTTATCTACTGTACATGTTTCAAAGGCCAAAAGAGGCATCTTAAACATAAGTACTTAAGATGCCGATATGTTCTACATCTGTTACCGGTCAATACAAAAAATGGAAAAAGCATGAAGCAATTTAGGAAATAGTCAAGTGGAAAAATGCAACAAAATGCAAAAATTGATTGCAAAGTTTAAGTGTAATGCAATACAAGTAAATATAGAATGATTTTTTTTTTTTTTTTTTTTTAATCATTGTCCTTTTGTTCTATATATCCATAGATGATGAAGCTAACCAATTCAACTGTTACCCTGTAAAACTATACTCAGCAGTTTTGGAAATTACAATAAACAAATTATTTCATATTGAACACAGTATTTATTAGTTTGTTTCCAAAGACTTCACTAACCAGAATAATTATTTATTTTCATTCATAGGAAATACACAGTATTACATTTGTTCATTTTTTCCTTATAGAATACCTGATTATCAATGTATCATACATGTATGGAGTTGATCATAGTTCATCCATAAGCATATACATATATATATATACATTATATATATGTATATATGTATATATATATATATACATATATACATATACATACATATATATATATATATACACATACATACATACATATACATATATACATATACATACATACATATATACATACATACATATATACATATACATATACATACATACATATACACATACATACATTATAATGGGCAAATAAAAATCAGAAAAACTATGTGATTTAGTTATGCCTAAGTAACCACATGGAAATTTAAATGGCCGAGGACTCTCATGCATTAACATTTTCAAGGGGGGTATTTTAAAATGTTAAAAAAAATGCAAGTGCATTCATGTATTGTCATTTTCCTTGTGGCTGCTTATATATATATATACAGGTATATAATAACTTGCACATGTATTCATGTTATAAAGCTAAAATTGATGTACAAAGACAAGAATCGTAGCGAGTACAAGAAGAATACCAAATACAATACCACTAAAGTGGAAAGTGTTGTTTCATTTAAGCTTAAAGTATTACCCCAAGCTATGAATCTTTTTTTCATGTTTTGTCAGCAACTTTACCTATGAATCAAATCAATCACAAGTCAGTAATATTCTGTAAATACATACATGTCTTTTGTATTTATGTTTTTGCATGCAGAACCTTGTGTTCATACAGCCTATTCAGGGGGTAGGCATTGTGTGTTGACTAGTATGTTTCCTTAGTAGAATTATGCAAATGTTAGTCTTTATTTTATACATTGGTATATATATATATATGACAGTCATTCCAGCTAGGTTTGTTTGATTACTTTGCCTTCTTTGGAAAATGTAAACTTCATATATATTCTTTGCCAGGAAGTTTATCTTAAATGGAACACGATAATTCCACTAAGAGTTGTGCAGGAATGGAAGCTTACATCTCTTATGATTACAAGCTCTAGATTTTTTTTTTTTTTAACTGCCTAGGTTTTAGAATTTTTGTCTTTTTACACAATGCCTTGGATGTGGCTCCACTGCAACCCAATGATATATTTTCCCATGTATTAGTTTAAATGAAAAGTAACATTAAAAAAAAAATATGAGCTCAAATAAAGAAATGTTTTCACTGTTATATTACTGAAACCCTCATGTTATACTGTGAATTAATTTTAACATGATTCTGTCTAAAGGGCAGTATTATAAATGCAAGATGCGTTAAGAGTCTGTCTCATCCCACGAGGTAGTAAACTGGAAATTTGTGTTGTATTACTACAGTTTGTGAATACAGTTCTTTTAGTAGTTATTTGGGATTTTGTAAACCAGCTAACAATGTTATAGTTGTATGTTAGAAGACAAAGATCATTGGCGACCTGACTTGGTCTGATGAGGACGGAGGCACTGGGGGATGGGCAGCCAAAGAAGTTGTGCTAAGGACAGTAATGGCACCATGCTCTGGATCGAGGGCAACATCAAAGGTAGGAACGAGGGCAACAGGAACTTCCTTTCCCCAGCTGGGGAAGAAGAGGGAGAAGATCCAGGTTTACAAGTCTAAGACGCACAGGTGTATTAGTGTCAGAGTACTCGTAAGACTACCATTTCGGGTAGAAAAATAGAAGCAGAGCAAACAATACAAGGATGGTTGGGAGGAGGATGAATATTGGCCCAGATGCCTTATATGTTGGGGAGGACCTAATTACAGAGGAGGTGAAGTTACAAAGAGGTGGAGGGGCTCACAGTGGAAATAATAGAAGAGGGGAAAGAGGTGGAGAAATGTCACAAACATGTTAGACGGGAAGACTGGGAAAGAAGGGTGGAAATACCAGCCAGTGCTACCAGAGGAACACCCTCTGCCTCAGATTGTGGAGTAGGCGAAAGGGAGCTGGTGAAGGTGTCAGGGTTTAAGACTTTAAACAGTTGTGAATTCTGAGAAAGGGTCAAGTAGTGTTTCATTGCAGAAGCACAAGACACGTCGGAAAAAGCGAAGTTGTTGGTCCTGGTATCTTGTCTCGGGAAAAAAATATACAATCTCTTTGTTGTAGATGGGGAATGGCTTGTACAAATGTATAGTGCACACAAGATCAAGAAAAAACAGGGTGTGAAAAACAATATTGCAGCCGATTCAGCAAGCATAGGGGAGAAGAATTATTGGACCTAGAAGGGTCCGTGACCTCACAAGTGGTTAAAAGACACCTCACTACTACACTTAAGAGATTCCATGCCTATTGAACGAGCATGGAGATGGGATATATTCTGAATAGAGCATCTGGCACCAGCAAGAATTACCGAAGACAAGAGGGTATGACCATTAAAAGTGAACGTTGCTAATTGAAGGGGATGACTATGATGATAGTGAGGGGGTCAAGTGAATGTATCAACCTGGAAGATAGAATACCCTTGGGCTTTGAATATGTATTAATAGTTTTTTGGTAGTCCTTAAGTTCCCTGTCAACATGGGACAGGAGAATGACCGCCAATGCTGGCATTTAATTGCACATGTTTCGAGACTCAAACCGTGATCTCACCAATGCGAGATAAGCAGCTATGGGAGTGGCTGCTTCCATAGTAGTGGGGACCTCATTGACAAGAGTGTCAGATTAATTATATCAGATATATTAAATGTAACAAAGTCAACAAGGTCTTTAAAATCATCAGGGCAGTAAGGGCATAATTGACATCAAAATATTTAGGCCCCCCCCCAAAAAAAAAAAACCATAGCGGGTCCAAACAGATCATGGTATGTAGCAGTTGTCGAGGGAAATGCATACGCTTGATTGTGAAGATGGCACAGTGGACTACCCCAGCAAGAATTAGGTCCAAAGGCTCAGTTGTAACAACTAAAGACTGAGTCTTCTGGTAATGAGGTAGACACCACTGGGCATGAGGGTGTCGACCCTGCCAAGAAAGTGTGCTGAGGAATGGAGAACCAAAGCAATAATCAGAGGGCGCTAAATATCACCAAGGATGCCAATACGAGAACAGAAACGCACAACGCGAACGATATCAAAAGTATTCGATTCACTAAGAATTCTATTGAGGGACAAGCGACCGCGAGGGACGGTCGGAAAGCAAGCAAGTAATTATCAAAAAGGCGGCACCAAACCGGGAAGGCTATGTAGTACCATCAAACGCGCGGAATAATCAGAGGGCGCTAAATATCACCAAGGATGCCAATACGAGAACAGAAACGCATAAGGCGTACGATATCAAAAGTATCCGAGTCACCAAGAATATTTATTTATTTATATACAAGAAGGTACATTACTATCTAGAGACAAGCGACCGCGGGGAACGGTCGGAAAGCAAGACGCACGCTCTTCCTGGAAGTCAGGACATTCAACAAAGGATATGCACGACTGTAAGAGGGACAATGTAATTTGGACAATAAGGAGCAGGACGGCATTCCATTAAGTAACCGTGAGTTAAGCGTGTATGGCCAATACACAACCTCCCCAGAGCTGTTTAATTCCCACCGCCTGTTACGGTGGTAGGAGGAAGGCCATGAGGATACACTACTCTTAAGAGTACACAGTTTGTTACCAGTAACAGGAGACCAACAATCATGCCAACGGGTAAGGATTGGAGGAATGAATAACTGGGTAAAAGTCGGAATAAGGAATACGTTTACGGGAGATGGGACAATAGCGGACAGCTTCCCTAGCGGCAGCGTCCGCACGCTCATTTAAAGACACAAATATGGCTGGGAACCAAGAAAGCAAGAGACGAAGAGCATAGAGAATAGCATAAAGTTCCACCGTGAAGACGCTAGTCTCTGGAGGCAGGCGACACATAAGTGTGGTCAGGAAAAACAACAGTTCTTTCCTTGTATGGCGAAGCCACATGGGTATGTAGCGAGTAAACCTATACTCGCTCCATTATCTCATCATCTTAATGGCATAACTAATCACACAAGCTATAATCCAATCCCTATTTACAGGTAACGGTTTTTCCACCCTCCTATCTTACTGTGAGGTGTAGTAACCGTATATAAGCCAGCGATTTGAGAATAGCAAACCAGTACAATCTAGAGTCAAGAATGTAGTACTCGGTGTAGGCAGTTCTAATCGACCAAAGACGCTACAGCTTCGACACAGAGCAGGCAGCAGACTACGACCTCGTCCAGCTACAACGCTCTCCCACAGAGCTCCGCGACTCCGGCCACACTCAGCTCTCTGCTCTGCTTCAGGCTTCGTCTCAACGTCTACGACACTGCTGTATCCAGGACTACTAAATAAATATGAAACTCACTAAACACTATCTAATCAACCCAACAACGTAACATAATCGTACGTTACGGGTATAATTCGCTCGTGCACCATCACAGCAAGCAGGAGATGGCATTCATGTATTTGCTATTCATTACCTTTCAATCCTCAGGACAGCGCGATTCTAAAGGTTGCAGAGAAAACGTAATTGTTTATTATTATTCAGGAATAACTTCAAAATCTTACATAAGGATGCACCTTTCCATGTCAATTTAATGTTTACTTATATTTAACACTTCATAATCCCAGTATGTTTATTAACATTTAAATATAAAACAAAATACTATATTTGTATAAGCACAGCGAAACAAGTTTAATGTTTTCTATGGGGTTTTTTATATGATTTTCTGTAATGATGTGCAGCGTGCAAAACTTGAAGTTGCCGCATGTTCGGAATATATTAATAAACACAAAGGGCCGGGTTTCCCTGGAAGAAAGGGTGGGGGACCGTGTTTTCCCCTAGAAGAAGGATATAGCATTCTCAGAACGAGGGCTTCTCTCATCACACTCCAAAATAGAGTCGAATCCTGGAACGAAGCGTAGATTATCGGACTCTACCCCATCTGACCTATCATCATGGGGACCTTGTGGCATCTCCGGGGAAACTACTATAGCTCTGTACGATCCTTCTGATGAGCCAGAGGATGCCAGGTTTGGCGAGGATGTCAAGGATTCATCCGAAATGGAGGATCCATAGGATTCGAGTGATATCCTACGCACTGATGAGTTCTCGCTGCCAGGTCCGTCTGGACGAGAGAGAATTTATTGATGTATGAAAATTATTTAGGATTTGGAGAACAAAAATTACAGCTCTACACAGTTAAAAATTCATCCCAGATATACACAAATTGCACTAAAAATGGACAAATGAATCCGTCTATTCTATATAGGGTAGCAGCACATTGCTGTGTGTACATAAGCTTGTTAAAGTAAAAATACGTACATACTTTCATTCCACATTACGAAACAGACTAATCATTTATGCCCCGCCTGGAAATCTATTCCTGGGTACCAGCGAATCTAAAGCGAAGCCAGCTCTACAATGAGACCCCTTAAATGCCTCCGCAACTAAAGATCATTGAGCAAATTCTTAAGGCAAGGATCTCTCTGGTAAATCTAAAACATTTCTAGTACAATTATCCAAGATATAGGGCTTGTATAGACATCACTTTAATTAGGAGAAACTCCTAGACAATTTGCTAGAGTTTGGGCAGCAACCTAGAACAAAAACCTTTGCTACGGTACTCGCCGTTCACAACGGCGTGTGCTAGGAGGACCAGCTGTCTGCGACAATAACGCTAGGGTCTACAACTACGCTAACACGACTACTCACCTGATATGTAGGAGAATCGAGTGCTGTTGGACCACTCGCTACCAGCTCTGGAGGCCCTGTTGGTCAGTGACGGTGATATCTGCAGTGGCGCCGGTGCCATTCTGAGGAGGTTCAAGAGGTCAGCTTTTGGTCATAGACAAGGTCGGCGTGAGCAGAGACCACTCGCACAATTCCTCAGTCAAGTTCCTCTTATTGGAGTTCTCCTCCCCCCCCCCTCCCCCATAAAGTTCCTTATTTCCTACTTTTAGAATGTCTATATATATCCCTCCATCTCGCGAAGAAGCTCTTTACTCACTTGCAGGACCACCGTCCACCATCGTCCCATTCCAAATCCTTATCCTGACCCCTTTCCAAGTGCTACATAGTCGTAATTGCTTGGCACTTCCTCCTGATAGTTCCATGCCCCCTTTATCTATCGACACATTACATTTAGGAATGTTTCAAAATCTTAAACATATTAGGTTGGGTACCTAGAAGAGTGCTGCCGATCGTCGTCTGAGCGCTGTTGTCGATCGTCGTCGGGGTGGTGCTGCTGGCGATCGTCGTCGGGGCGGTGCTGCTGGCGATCGTCGTCGGGGCGGTGCTGCCGATCGTCGTCGGAGCGGCGCTGCAGGCGATCGTTGTCCGAGCGCTGTTGCCGATCGTCGTCGGGGCGGTGCTGCAGGCGATCGTCGTCTGAGCGCTGCTGCCGATCGTCGTCTGAGCGCTGCAGGCGATCGTCGTCAGAACATTGTTGGTAATTGCTACAAAATTTATGTTTCAGATTGTTGCAATATTGTCGGTGATCGTTATCACCGTGTAGCCCATCGTTAGAGGAACAATACGATAGATTACTGGCGACGCAATTTTCACGCTCGCTATGGCGCCGGCATTTCCCGCAGTGTTGGAGGTCACGGATGTTGTGTTGGCGATGGTTGCAAGTGCAGGCTGTGGAATGTTGTCGACTCTTAGGGTCCCGCTGTGGATTACTGGAGGCTGGAGAAGGAACGACCGACTTTCTAATAGGTGAGGGTGGCCTCATAGGAGCGGGTTTTCCGCGCTGGTAACAAGATGAAAAGAGAAGTATAGCATAATAACTTTGAAATAGTTTGAAAAGTTTAGGTTATACATACATTAGTGATATTTTGTATGGGTACGAGAACGCCAAATTAGTTTCCAGGCAGAACTGACCTTAGGAAGGCATTTGAAAAGGCACTCGGGCAGGTTGGAGATAACAGCCTTCCTAACTGTCCGGTTTACGAAGCAATGCAGCACCAGAATCATGATGCCCTAAGAAGAGAAACGAGAGGAAATAAAAGATTAGACCTCGATATTCAAGCGAGGAGCCAAGAGACGCGCTTAAGAGGTACCTGGGAGTTTGTAGCCGATTATGATCAAGGGGTAAAGTCAACCGTTGGCTAAGGGGAGGAAATGGGGGACTTTGACAAGTATTATAATAAGCTTGGCGACCCCGATGGCTGGTAATAAACCCATGTAATCCTGTGCTACTGAAACCGTATTAATGCCTATACAAAACTTCGGTTCAAAATTTAACTGGAAAATCCTCAGGGATAATGGGGTGGAAAACCTTGGGTAAGCCGCAGGATTCTTGTCCCCATCGAGGCCACAATAAAGATGGTGGCCTTCAAGTTAGTTAGTTTAGTTCATTTATTATGCACCCCATACCCATCTTGTGGGCGGTAGTGGAAAGGGTTACAGAAGCACATAATGGACTCAGGGACTGAACCCCACAATTCATTTAGCTAAGCAAATTACAATCTTGATGAGATAGTTACAAAATTCAGTACAAGTCGTCACATCGTCAATGGGTTCGAGATCGATGACAAGTACAGTTTCTAAATTAAGCATCTGACATGTGGAAAGCTAGTGTCACAATTGATATGTTTGTCCTGTACACCGCCCCCCATCCAGTGGGCAGCGGTGGATATAGGTTACAATCATTTAGTTACTACCTACAGTTAGCAAACTGGGGATATTTGGCTAAATTTCAAGAAAAACGTTTATCACACAATCCAAACATGTTACCGTGTGTGATATCTAAAGCCGACTCCAGTTATGTGGACGTTCAGTGGAAAGCCAGTCACTGGATGACCTATACAAGAACATTTGTGGCAATGAACACTATCATGACCGAAGATGCAGTTCTGTATCGGTACTTTTGTGGCATTAAATTCATTATCAATCATTAATTTACGGTTATATTTTCACTCGTATACTATCCCCCCCCCCCACCCGGTACTATGGTCTCTGTCCTTAGCCAAGAGCCAGAGGTACCCGAGTCGAATCCCCGGACAAGATAGTAACGGCTGAGCATGTTTCCTCTCGCCTGATGTGTCTGTTCACATAGCAGTACAAATGGTACCCGGCAATTGGACAAAGTGTTGTGCTTGCAGGCTAGGCAAGGTCAACAGTTGAAACAGAGGGACATCAATAAACCTGTTCCCGACATTTTCTACTATTTTTAAGAGTTATCCATTATGGCTAAATTCGTACCAAAGAAAACGGGAAACTGTCAGATAATCTTTGGTGCAGCGACATTTACCAACGGGAGAGGTAACCCTTAATACTTATATCAAGAATTATTGAATTGTTTTGTGGATCGCATCCTATTTTGTGGGTTAGCATATTAAAACACTGAACTGTAATGCAAATCCTGACCTTAAACGCTTACTAGAAGGTTGTAACAGAACCATGGGCACGTACCACACCAGAAGCAAATACCCATTTGATATTCCAAGAGTAAGACTTTACCAAACAAGAAATGCTCTGCAAATCAAGGGACCCGGAATGTGGAATGATCGTCCCAATCGTGTCCAAGGCTGTACCTCTCTCAACCAGTTTAAGAGAAAAACCAAGTACTACCTAATAAACTCCATTTAACCCACCTTACCCCCTAAATGTCAACCCCATGTTTTGCTATTTTCAAACAATATTGTTTGCTGGCCAATTTGCATAACTGCTGATTTCTGTCATGTTTCCCTTTCCCCCCCTTTTTCAACTATTTATGCTTTGTTTCTAAGTCAAGTCTAAGTTTTAGTCTAAGGGTTTTTTCCCCCCACACCTTGCCCGAAACGCTGTGCGTATTAGTGGCTTTAGGCATTATATGTACTAGCTCTATCTATAAATCCAATATTATGTTTGTACCTCATCTTTTATGTATCTACTTTTACCTGAATAAACATTTGATTTTGATTTGATTTCATTTTTATATTTTTACATGGGATAGATGTACGCGGGTATCACCCCCCCCCCAACAAAAACAAATACTATACTACTAAATAAAAGTAGAATCTTAACAGACCAGGTGAATTGAATTGGACTTTACTACTATACTTTACAAAGAGGTGTAGTACGTGACAACTTTGTTAATACTATCCAACATTTGGGATGCGATACTCTAGCTATATCCACGCCGGTAATATGATATGTTTTGTTGGCGATAGGAACCCTTCGTATATTATATATACATGTGCATTCATTCACACACACATTACGGGCTATTCATGCCCGTGCCACCTCTTGGGTGGCTTAATCTTCATCAATCATTCACACACACACACACACACACACACACACACATACACACCAGCGCCAGAGATGAGGTAAAGAGGCATCTGTTTGATCTGGACGTGAGAAAGGCTGATGGTTCGGACGGAATCTCACCATGGGTACCGAAAGAGTGCGCAGAAGTACTTTGCTTGCCACTCTCCAAGGTGTATAGTAGGTCACTGGAGACGGGAGACCTACCAGAAATATTTATGACGACTAATGTAGTCCAAATATATAAACAGGGTGACAGGCAAGAGGCACTGAACTACAGGCGTGTCTCTTGCCTAAAACCTCTTTTACTTTTTTATTGGCAAGTGAACAGAATCATCTCGTTCACACCCTAACTACCCCACCACCTCTAGTGGCCTCGACGGAGACTAGAAGCTGGCGGCTTGTTAATGGTCCCCTCAGTATTCCCGAGGATATTTTCTATCTGGACCAATCAGCAAAGACATTGCGAAAATCATCTTTACGTGTCCCTATTATAAGGAACCCGAGGGCAATGTATCTTGCAAACAATAGTGTCACTGTTGAACATTCAAGCCAGGTGGAACTGGAACGACCAGTTCCAGTTCCGAACTAGCCTAGTAAAATGCCTCCGAATCTGACTTTGAACTCCCGGACAAAACTAACCTGAGAGGCGTTGAGGATGGTGAAGAGATAAGCAAAGACGTGTCCGGTGTTGATGTAGAGGAGACCAAACACCCAGGTGCACCCCAGCAGACAGTTAAGGGAGAAGCACCCCTTCACCCACAACCTGTCGATGAGGGTAAACTTTGAGAATATTGTTGACCAGACCACAAACTAGAAGGTGAAGGGACGACGACGTTTCGGTTCATCCTGGACCATTCTCAAGTCTGACTAGGACCATTCTCACAAACGACTTTAGAATGGTCCAGGACGGACCGAAACGTCGTCGTCCCTTCCCCTTCTAGTGTGTGGTCTGGTCAACATACTTTAGCCACGTTATTGTGACTCATCGTCTGCCTTTGAGAATATTTTGGGGTCGGCAGCGGCGGGCTACTGTACCGTGCACTCGGCTCGTCGTCCTGTTGAGGGAGTACTTGCAGTAACGACGAGGACCATCTTACATATATTGACGTAAAAGGCAGTTAGAAAGTTGAAATCGTTACTATTGAATTTGGACAAACCGGAAAAGGTTTTGTACTGATGTTGCAAAGAAAACTTATCCTAACCAAACTTTCCTAGGACTAATACACGCTATCTGAGGCCTAATATAGTACACATATACATACTATACTAGGCTTTGGAATATTTATGTTTGGGTTTTAACTTTTTTTCAGGACTCTTACAAAGGGAATAGTGTAAAAGAACAGTAAATTGAATAGAATAGTGAACAGAATAGTACAAAATGTACAAAATTCTACTATCTAACTGTCCAGTAGGTCTATGTATGTACGATGGTCCACAGTTACAAAAAATTACTATATAAACAGGCTGACGGGTCGCCATACTCGTCCTGTGAGCGGTAGCGCAAAAGGACTACAGAGGACACGAAATTTCTTAAATCAGACATTTTCTGACAGAACATAGGCGAGTAATTCTAAATAAAGTAAAGGGGGGTAGAAATAGTCTAAGCTACTCTATCCCTTTGAGATGTATTTATTGCTTATCTCAATAAACATACTTGAACTTGAGTAAATCTTATTTTTAGGTCCAACATTTAATATTATTATATTTTAGAAAGATGTATGGGAGTATATTTGTTTGGCTGTTGATGGTTTTATCTCTGCTTTTTTATGAGGAGGTTGAGGAGTGTGCAATGTATGTCCTCTTACGCATAAAAAGATCCTGTCAACTGATAAAATCAGTGCTTGTACGAGGCAAGTGTCTACTGTGGGCGACGTGCTTTCAACTGTTGGCGACGTGCTTTCATTCCTGTGTACAAACGTATTAACACGATGTACTGAATGGGGCGATAATAGCTTGAGCTACCTCATCCCTGTGTGTGTATTTTACCTCAATAAACTTATTTAAATTTCAACGCGTTTCTCACTCACCTGACTTGCTGTGGAAGCGTTTTCCGTTTGTTGGCCCTCAGTACAGCAGCAGACCGTAGTGCCATGATCATGCTGAGGGTGTTTACCTGTGGGATATGTAAACATTAGTAGCTGTACAAGCATGTGCGAGAGTTCTTACGCGCTTCTATGGACAGGAGGGGAGATCACCACACACACTCCACAACAGATACACACCACACACACACATCACAACACCAGATACCACACTTACCACAATCACCACTAGCAGAGGTCCGGTGAAGGCCCATATATATCCTTCATCAGTGGAGAGCCAACAGCTGAAGGGGCAATACATAGAAAATTTAAATGATTTGGGATTTTTTTTGGTAAAGTTTTAAAAATATTGTTTCAGAGCTACCACTGCAAGTAAAAAACAAAACAAATGGTAAACATTATACATATCCAGGAAGACAATCATGGAAACTAGGCATTGATCAACATCAACGGGTAGTGTTGACCAAAGCACACTAGAAAGTGAAGGGACGACGACGTTTCCGTCCATCCTGGACCAATCAAGTCTGACCAGGACCACTCTCACAATCTACTTTAGAATGATCCAGGACGGACCGAAACGTCGTCGTCCCTTCACTTTCTAGTGTGTGGTTCGGTCAACATATTTCAGCCACGTTATTGTGACGCCTCGTCTGCATCAACGGGTAGTGTTTAACTCACTATTCACTGTCGGGAGGAGCGTACGCATTCTGCGTCAGCCAGGTGCCCGCGCCGTAGGCCACCAGCAGGGTCACCACCACCACCACGGCCGGAACACCATACCCGACCAGCCTAGCAGACGGCAGGCCAAACATTAGAGAAACAAAGACCCCACAGATATACAGAGACCGTGTGTAGGTGCGACCTGCTGGCCTTTACATAACCATGCAAAAAACTCACTTACCCAAAAGCAAGAAATGTAGTACGATTGTAAACAATCTTCACATATACTCATATATACAAGAATATTACTTTAATAATCACAGTACATATCTACCCAGGTGTCATCTCCGACACTGTCTCTTACTTCCGCTTTCCCCCCAAAAATGGTACAAACTTAAGATAAAGCAGACCAGTAAGCGGGCATAGCTGTGGTTGGAGAGAGGACGTGGACGACCGTCTGCAGCAGGTGGGCTCCCTGGCTGAGCATCCAGCACACACTAGCAGTGACCCAGTAGTGAAGTATCGTAGCAGACACCTCGCACATGGTCTGTGGGAGGACGCGGGGTTAAGACATGTCCCGAAAACGGGTGCAAGGAAGAACCCTCGTGTTTTCAACAAAGTATATGACAAAATATTCTCCCGGATGATGGCTTGTTGACCAGACCACACACTAGAAGGTGAAGGGACGACGACGTTTCGGTCTGTCCTGGACCAGTCTCAAGTCTGACCAGGACCATTCTCACAAACGACTTTAGAATGGTCCAGGACAGACCGAAACGTCGTCGTCCCTTCACCTTCTAGTGTGTGGTCTGGTCAACATACTTGAGCCACGTTATTGTGACTCATCGCCTGCCTCCCGGATGACGAGTTTAGGATGTTAAAATGTCTCCTTTTACTTGAATGATCAATATAGCATTTCCATAAATATTATCAGGCCCTATTTTTAAGATTTATCAGTATTTTCTCCGAGTTTTAAACACAAAATTTGATTGTCCGAACTTCAAGAGTAGACTTTGGCCGCCCAAGACTATCAAAATTTGTTTATATCCACGACTTTCATCACTAAATTATTGATATGATTACCATCTATTTTATCTCCGATTTGTTCTGTACCAGATCTATAGGTAAATAAATATTTTTATCTATACTTTCATATATGAAATTACCTTTTGTCAGGGACAGGAAACTTGTGTATATATTTACTTTGGGTTTGTATCAAGGGTCGAACCCCCACCACCAAGGTCGAACTATCAACCTTCCTCAGGATGCAACCCCAAACAGTTGCCCAACTCCTTGGTCTATTTAATGCTAGATGAAAAAAAAGAGGCATTAGGCTAAAAGAAACGTGGCCGACCATGCACTATACATGTACTTGCATAAAACAGAGGTAGGCATCTCCTGCCTGCCTCTCTAGCAGGCAGGGGTAGGAGACCAGATTACCTTTGATTGTTTGAGGAAGTCTGGATCTAGCAGGAGCAGGAGAAGGAGGTGTGAACATCCCAGAGAGACACACAGCTGCTTGGTGATGGCGGTGCGGGGGCCCTGTAAACTCCTGATACACAAACAAAGATAATATATTACAAATTTACCTCTTTCCTGTCTAATATTTTTGATCCGTCACATTATTACAGTCCAGAGTCAATAATTCAGAGGCGCGACCCCATAGTCTCTACTGCAGAGTGTCACTAAACCACCAGTTGCTATATGACATTGAACCATGTTAACAGCATCGGGCTATTGTGTGCCGGAACATGTCAAACAAAGGAACATATGCAACGTTATTATTGCATGGATCTGCATGGCTTGGAAACTGTCCTATGCATCTTATATGAATGGTGATGGTTGCTCGTCTGATTATTGTCCTGGCAACTTTAAACTGGTAATATAGAAAACAAAAGAGGAATAAAGACTGGACCAGACCCGGCCACAGCCAGCCCGAGCCTTACAGATGTTCAGCTGCTGGTGTGACGTCAAAATACCAAGATAAAAGCTGATCACCACAACAGTTTCAGGCGTTCACCAAGACACTGAGCGCTTACTTGATGAAGTGAAAGATGCTGAAGGCTGCCAGTAGGGAGAGACATGAAGCAGAGGTGAGAATGGTGCCCAGCGTGTCCAACACGGGGTCACGACCCTGTAGAACAGAAACAAAGGTGACAAAGAAGATGAGAATACACCTGCTTAACCAATTCTATCTTCACTCGGAACGTGCTCAAATGCCTTGGCTTGTACACACACAATTTATAATATATTTGACACGTTCCAGCGTACGTTCACAGACCACCTATTTAGAAGGTCAAATACAACGCATACAAAGTAAAGGTTCAAGCTCAACAAGCCACAAAGACAAAAGCATATTTTTTCAATCAAACGCCTACTCGCTCAAGCCATAAATGACAGCTTAAAATTCAGATAGATAAAAATCATTAGGAACAATGGAGAGGGAAAGAGGGGATACATTTGACAACCCGCCGGCTACCATTCCCCTCCCTCTTCCCCAATCGAGGCCACTAGAGTGACAGCGGCTCTCGGGTAAACTAACTGCAATTGGTACGTACTATCGCAACCAGAAAACTAGGCAATACCGATATTCTCGGGAGGCACTCTCCCGTAAACTGCTCTTACAACATCGAACATCTTACATCATCAACTTACAACACACTCAAAACACCCAGGATACACTTACAGTGCTTAGGATGTACTTACAGCACATAAGACGTTCTCAAAACATCCAAGAAGATTAAAAAGTGAAGTCACCACACACAGGATATGCTCAACATCTGAGATACTTTCGAAACACTCGAGAAGCATTTCAACTCCAATGGAGACCTTGCAACACTTTCAAAAAGATTTTATCGCGTTCAACATTAAAGCTTCATTCTCAACACCCCGAGGACCTACACACACGCCCTACAACACCCGAGGACCCACACACATGATTTGATTTAAGGGCAGCAAAGGAGGAGATAAGATACCTAAAGGAGACTCTTCCACAATACCAGGCACAAACCGTACCCCAGGGAGATGGGAATGCTACTGTGGAGGGGACCACCACAACCCAGATCTCATTTGCTGAAATGCTTAAAAAGAGCCCTGAAGCTAGGTCTGCGGTTAAGGAAGTTGCCATGGAAGTGGCTTCCTCTCAGGAAGCAGCTAGATGTACTAGCCGGCTGATAGAGAGAAATAGAGCAGTAGTAGTAGCAGGCATTGAAGAACAAACAGGGACCAGACCAAAGGAGCGGAGAGACAAGGACAAAAACATGATTAAAGAGATCCTTAAAGAGGTAAGGATGGAGGGAGCTGAGCGAAATGTTGAAAAGGTTTTCAGGCTTGGAAAGTACAACAAGGACAGAGACCGAATGATAAAGGTGGTTTTCATGAGCGAAATCGCGAAAGAGGAACTGCTAGCAAGGAAGTGTTGTCTAAAAGGTGTAGAGAAGTTCAAGAAAATATTCCTGCAGAGGGATATGACAAGGGAAGAGAGAATACGGACAGCAGACGCGAGGAAGGAGCGCAGGGAGAGAGAAGGAAATCAGAGTACCACAACCCAGAACCCTACAATCCCAGAGGGAAGTGGAGAACCCTCCTCAAACAGTGCAACAGCCACAGGGATTGGGGCACCACCCCCAAATTCTACCCAACAGACACCCAACCTGCCCCATCCCCTGTCAGCCCCCCACTAAGTACCCACCTAGGGCACCCTCCCCCCACCCACCCCCCTCCCCCCACTCACCCCCCTTCTCCCCCTCACCCCTCTCCCCAGGACCTCCCTTCTCCCCCATCCCCCATGCCCTCCCTTCTCCCACATGCCTTCCCGTCTCTCCCACCCCCATGCCCTCCCTTCTCCCCCTCCCCCCTAAGCCCCCCACTCTCCCCCACCCCACCTAAGTCTTCCCCTCTCCCCCACTCCCCTAAACCCTCCCCTCTTCCTCACCCACCTCAGCCCTCCCTTTTCCCCCACGCCCCCCAAGCCCTCCACCCTTTTCTCTCCCCCCAAGCCCCCCCATCTCCCCTATCCCCCACAGCCTCTCCTCCCCCCATGCTTCCCCAACCCTCCCTCTCTTACCCACCCCCTGTACCCTCCCCCTCTTATCCACCCCCTGTACCCTCCCCCTCTTATCCACCCCCTGTACCCTCCCCCTCTTATCCACCCCCTGTACCCTCCCCCTCTCCCCCACCACCCCAAGCCCTCCCTCCTCCACCAATCCCCCCGTGCCAGGTCCCCCCAGCTCCCACTCACCCCAGATCCCAAAGGTCCCCCCCAGAAAAGAAGCAGAAGAGAGTCAGTTTCAGGGTGATGTACTCGAACATAGATGGGATCACAAGCAAGACAAGTGAACTAAGGGAAAGAGCACAAGAAGTTAACCCAGATGTAATCGGACTCACTGAAACAAAACTCTCTGGAATCATAACGAATGCCGTGTTTCCCCAGGAGTATACAGTAATAAGGAAAGAGAGGGAAGGTAGAGGAGGAGGCGGAGTGGCCCTACTCATGAGAAGGGAATGGAGTTTTAAGGAGATGGCCATCCCGGGCTGTGAGGAGTTCAGAGACTACATAGCAGGCACCATAACAATGGGAGGACCAAGAATAGTAGTAGCAGTAATATACAACCCTCCACCAAATGACAGGAGACCCAGTCAAGAGTATGAAAACAACAACAAGGCAGTTAACACTATAATTGAGAGGACAGCCTCTGCTGCCTGTAGAAATAGATCCCACCTGCTCATCATGGGCGACTTCAATCACGGAAAGATTGACTGGGAGAACAAGGAACCGCATGGAGGCGAGGATACGTGGAGAGCCAAACTATTGGAGGTGGTGACAAGCAACTTTTTAACGCAGCATGTCGGAGAACCCACAAGGATGAGAGGAAATGACGAACCAGCGAGACTCGACCTAGTCTTCACTCTGAACGACTCCGACATAAGAGAAATCGGTTTTGAGGACCCAGTAGGAATGAGCGACCACAGTGTACTGGTGTTTGAGTACTTGATTGAAGAAGGGTTATTGAACTCGAGGAGGGATACCGAAACCAAAAGGTTAGCATACCGAAAGGGAAACTATGAGGGGATAAGAAAATTCCTAACAGATATAGCATGGGAAACAGAGCTCAGGGGAAAGACGGCCCAAGATATGATGGATTACATCACGCAGAAGTGCAAGGACGCAGCAAACAAGTTTGTCCCAGTCCAAAAGGAAAACAGAGAAATGAAGATGAGAAACCCATGGTTTAATCAAAGATGTAGGCTAGCTAAGCAGCAAAGTAAAAGGGCATGGAGAAACTATAGGAATAACAGGACACTGGAGAGCAGAGAAAGATACCAGAATGCCAGGAATGAATATGTCAGGATGAGAAGAGAGGCAGAAAGACAATACGAAAATGACATCGCAAGCAAGGCAAAGACTCAGCCTAAATTGTTGCATAGCCACATTAGGAGAAAAACAACAGTAAAGGAACAGGTTATGAGATTAAGGATAGGGGCGGAAGGATTCACTACAAATGACAAGGAAGTGTGTGAGGAATTGAATAAGAAATTCCAGGAGGTCTTCACCTTAGAACAAGGAGAAATTCCAGAGGTAAGTGAGGGAATAGCTAACCAGGAACCACTGGAAGAGTTTGAGATTACCAGTGGGGAAGTAAGGAAGTGTTTACTAGAGTTGGACGTGACGAAGGCTATAGGCCCAGATGGAATCTCCCCTTGGGTTCTAAAGGAAGGAGCAAGAGAACTGAGCCTACCACTCTCCATAGTGTATAACAAATCACTGGCAACAGGGGAACTGCCAGATACTTGGAAAGCAGCTAACGTAGTCCCGATATACAAGAAAGGGGATAGACAGGAGGCACTGAACTACAGGCCAGTGTCCCTAACCTGCATACCATGCAAGCTGATGGAGAAGATTGTGCGAAAAAAACTAGTGGAGCATCTGGAGCGAAGGAACTTTGTAACACAGCATCAACATGGGTTCAGGGATGGCAGGTCCTGCCTCACAGGGTTACTTGAATTCTACGACCAGGCAACAAAAATAAGGCAAGAAAGAGAAGGGTGGGCAGACTGCATATTTTTGGATTGTCAGAAAGCCTTTGATACAGTGCCACACAAGAGGCTAGTACGAAAGTTGGAGATGCAGGCTGGAGTGAGAGGGAAGGTACTCCGGTGGATAGAGGAATACCTAAGCAACAGGAGACAACGAGTCTGTGTGAGGGGTGAGGTCTCAGATTGGCGAGACGTCACAAGTGGAGTCCCGCAGGGGTCAGTCCTTGGACCTATACTGTTTCTGGTATATGTAAATGATCTCCCAGAGGGTATAGATTCGTTCCTCTCAATGTTTGCCGACGATGCAAAAATTATGAGGAGGATTGAAACAGAGGATGATAGTAGGAGGCTACAAGATGACCTGGATAGACTGAGTGAATGGTCCAACAAATGGCTGTTGAAGTTCAACCCGAGTAAATGCAAAGTAATGAAACTAGGCAGTGGAAACAGGAGGCCAGGCACAGGATACAGAATAGGAGATGAAGTACTTAATGAAACAGACAGAGAGAAAGATCTAGGAGTTGATATCACACCAAACCTGTCTCCTGAAGCCCACATAAAGAGAATAACGTCTGCGGCATATGCGAGGCTGGCTAACATCAGAACGGCGTTCAGGAACCTGTGTAAGGAATCATTCAGAATCTTGTACACCACATATGTAAGACCAATCCTGGAGTATGCGGCCCCAGCATGGAGCCCGTACCTTGTCAAGCACAAGACGAAGCTGGAAAAAGTCCAAAGGTATGCTACTAGACTAGTCCCAGAACTAAGAGGCATGAGTTATGAGGAAAGGCTGCGGGAAATGCACCTCACGACACTGGAAGACAGAAGAGTAAGGGGGGACATGATCACAACCTACAAAATCCTCAGGGGAATCGACCGGGTAAACAAGGACGAACTTTTCAACACTGGTGGGACGCGAACAAGGGGACACAGGTGGAAGCTGAGTACCCAAATGAGCCACAGAGACGTTAGAAAGAACTTTTTCAGTGTCAGAGTAGTTAGCAAATGGAATGCATTAGGAAGTGATGTGGTGGAGGCTGACTCCATTCACAGTTTCAAATGTAGATATGATAGAGCCCAGTAGGCTCAGGAATCTGTACACCAGTTGATTGACGGTTGAGAGGCGGGACCAAAGAGCCAGAGCTCAACCCCCGCAAGCACAATTAGGTGAGTACAATTAGGTGAGTACACACGCCCTACAACACGTAAGGTGTACTCACAACATGATGGTGGAGGTCAGTGAGGATGGCGATCATGGTGAGGTGGGAACACCTGCAGAAGGTCGCCTGAGGCGTCGAGTTGACCAGATCACACCCTTCAGGAGCCCACATGCTGTTCCGGGGATCAGGTGAGGGGTTAGGGTGTGGCTCAGATGATGGGAGAGGGGTATGGATGTGGATCATACGATGGGGCGGTTTGGGTGTGGCTCAGGGCTCAGGCAATGGGAAGGGGGTTTAGGCTGCGGATCAGACGACTGGGGGGATTGGGGGGGGGGGGTTAAGTGCTTATAAGCTGATGGGGGGTAGACGAGGTACTGTCAAATTGCAACATTACTTTGTGCTAGATGGGACAGTGGAGAAAGTTAAAATCCGTTCCTAGTTAAACCATTCTGGACTTTTACACAAGATTGACTATGTAATGGATCAGTTGCGCAGTGTTGTAAATAATTCTTGAGCTTGTAAAAGCATCTTAAGCACCACTGAGTGCTTATCAAAACACTAGTTTCTATTGCATTTCACATTGTAAACGCACATTAATCACATTAAGTATAAAAAAAAAAACTAACACTGCTTAGGGATGATAGACAAATGTATGGATAGATTAAGCATTTTAAAAGCACTACAAACACCTTATGTCGTTGAGTGTTAAATAAAATCAGAACTATGTATTTAATATATCTTAAACCCTGTCCATGAAAATTTATATATATATTGGTTAGCGTTGTAAATGAGTGGCTACGTCTGTGGTAGGAAAACACTTCATCTTCTATTCCAGTTCCCATATTCTTTTTATACCTCTATATATATACATACATATATTATACATACACATTATATTATATATAATCTCTATCACTCACTCACTGTTAATCTTTAGTACTGTCAAGACACGTAAGAGTGTTCAAAAGCTTCATGAATCGTCTCAACAGAATGCTGTCAATACCTGGCAGTACCTGTAAATGTTGCCAGTACTTGAACGTGTTGTCAGAACGATGTCTTATTATCACCTGTTAGCGTGACAACAGTCTCGCTCACTAGTGTGTAGTCAATACCTGAAGGAGTCCTCCCAGTAGACACAGCGGGCAGTAGCGGGGACGGGCGTGGCCACCTCCCCCGGCCTGGCATCCCGGTACAGATCTCTGAGGATAAGACAAGTTGAGTTGAAAAATGATGATTAATATTCAAGAACGTACTAGATAGGGGGTACGTTCCGGTGCAACTTCAAGATGTTGGGTCATTTGTACGCTGGAAGTTCCCAGAATTAAAATCCTCCATCACAACACGAGTTTTTCCATATCATTCTTTGAAATCTGTTTATATTATCAGATTAAAGTCCCCTTAAAGGAGGCCAGTGAGGTCGACCCCGCCAATGACAGGCCTCTAAAACTCAACAGCCGCCTTAGAAAATTTTGCGAGACTAGCTCCAAACTTCTGACCTCTAAGCATGTACAAAGACAATCCAATTATTAAATATAGATTACTAGTCTATAATTCTGGCGGTAATGGGAGACTTCTTTTGAAGTACTCTACTAGGTTACAATTAGATACAAGACAAGTTCCCACTTTTACTATATAAAATCACAAGGTTATAAAATAAATGTTAAAACATAATACCCAGTCGGGAGTATATTCCCTCCCCCTATGTCTTTCGGTCTGCTATTGTGACGCCTTATTGGGTGTTTGGGATAAGGTCTATCAACCCCAGGAGGGTTATTAAGGCCATCACAATAGCTTACCGACAAAAGCAGCTGTGCATTATTCAGAACTAAAGAACATTTTTATTTTAAGCTTATTTCTTGTTTATTTCCAACTTCTAATTCAGTATCACTAGAGGAGGACTCTTAGGAGGACAGGGTAGGTACACCAACCTGAAGTAGGGACCGCTCTCCTTAACAGTATGACGGAAACTCAACAGAACTCCATCAGTCAGCGACGTGAAATTTGCAGAGTTTCCCGCCTTGTCCAATGTCAGGCTCACCACCAGGCTGTTGATAATTTTGTATCTGGCGTGTGGCACGTTCCTGCGGGCATGAGTTGGACATGAGTACCTTCCTGTGGGTTATGAGTGAACACTAGTACCTTCCTGTGGGTTATGAGTGAACACGAGTGGGTCAGACTGGAGAATACCGTACCTTTCAACCCTTATCATTCACTACACATTATCCCTCTTGCCTCTATTCGAACCACACAACAATCAATTTCTCCAGCCAATAGATTTGTGAGGATGAAGACAAGTAGTTGACAAAAAAAGGAAAAAACAAGAAATAAACGGGGGAGAAGATATGCAACTGATAGTATTGAATAAGGAAGAGAATTTCGATAGTTACAGTCTCTCCAAGGCATAGCGTGATGATATCCAGGGATAGGATTCGCTAATCATTTAACGTGTCTACTCCCGAAATCTAAGCTTATTTCTCCAATCATGAAGGTTTATTTTGTATTTATTAAACAGTTTGAGCTTCGAAACTTCGCAACGTAAGGTTATTATTGTAATAGAGAACTCAATTTGGGCGCAGCACGTGCTGGAATGAGTGAGTGCCGGTAAAGTTGTAGGCACCACTGAATATCTCTTGTGAAGTTCACCCTAAACTGAGAAAACAGCATCACACGCTCAGCTACCTGAAGAAAAAGCTTTCAGTAGGGCGGTCACATCAAAGAAAACAAATGGTTTGAACTCCCTGCCTTGCGTTACACTACAAAATGCGTGTAACAAACTCTTATCTCCAGGCTCTCACAGGCCACTACGGGCTCACCATAGCCTGTGCTACTTGGAATTTTTCGTTCTCAGTAGCTGAATCTACAACAACATCCAGGCTCTTGACTTACCTACTGAGACTGGCTGGCAAAGCCAAGGAAGCTGCCTGCTGCTGCAGGAAGAATCCCACCAGCTTGGCCTGCGGCTGCTTTTCTGGGAAAAGGGTCACGAAGTCCTGTGGTAGGTGTAAGAAGGTCGGCTCGCTGGGGCCAGGTAAGTACAGCTCCTTGCCAGATAACTCCTCTCTGGTGGAGTAAGGCAAGGTACCTTCAGAACTACCTTGCCTTACTCTTAAAAGGTTAGGCAACTATCTACAAGGTTAGGTAAAATCGATTACCTAACAAGGCAATCTATTTAAATTTATATGCAGTTTTTCCTAGCGATATGTTTACAATAGTCATTTTTTTAGCATTATTAATTCTCTCAAAGTAAAACACAAATAGACAACTATGCCGAGTCATAAGAGGTTTTTTTTTACGCTAAATGTATCATTGAATCAAAAAATGTTTCTCAGTGACATTCTCTCAGATAAAAAAAATAAACATTCACACAATCTATATGAATGAAAGCTGAGCCAAGAGGATTTAGATGGTAATTTGTTTAATTTCACTCACCAGGGCTATAGCAGACTCGAATCACGGATCCCACGCTTGTGAAGCTCTATCCACTCTGCTATGAGCAGTCTTAATAAGAAAATATTCCAGAAGCAACTACTGCCGCTAAAATGGATAGAACTTCAGCCTCACTCGCGAGAGGTCAGTGGTTCGAGTCTGCTAGAGCCCAGGTGAATTGAATTGAACTATCAGGGGAAAGGGCCAAGCCATTACGACTATATAGCACTTGGAAGGAGTCAGGATAAGGATTTGGGATGGGACGGGGGGAAGGAATGGTGCCCAACCATTTGGACGGTCGGGGATTGAACGCCGACCTGCAGGATGCGAGACCATCGCTCTACTGTCCACCCCAAGTGGTTGGGTTAGAGCCCAGGGGAATGAAAGTTTATTTCCACGGAAGAGTGGATGACAATGTTTGGTGTGATGTCTCGTCCTTAAATGACCTGAAAATGTATACATACTGAAAGACTGATAAGAGAGAGAGAGAGAGAGAGAGAGAGAGAATGAATTAAAGACAACACGAGAAATGCCCCTTTCAGTTGATATCGGCATCTTGGATGTGCGCAAGAAAATAATAAAATATGCTATACACATCAGGAATTATCCGAGCTTTGGAATTCATGTCCCAAATTGTCATTCCCGGCGAGTTTTCTGGCATGGCACTGACCTGGAGACAGTGATGACACTAGGCACTAACCTGGGTGTGGAGATTACAGTCATGTTGACCTGGGGTTCAAGGAAGGTCACGGTATCATTGGTGACCTGGTCAGCTACGATGAATCCTGACGTCTCCAAGTTCAACAAGAGAAAGGACCCCATTTGACCGGCCTCCATCTGTGAGTCGGAGAGAACGCCATTTACAGAGGGTTATAGTGTAGATGTCAAGGAGAAGATGCCAAGGAGAAGATGCCAAGGAGAAGATGCCAAGGAGAAGATGCCAAGGAGACGTCGAAGAGTAGATGGAGAATGCGAGATTCACGGAGAGTATACATGTACGTATAGAGTATAAGTGTGTGTGTATTCTGCGCGGGTGTATATTGTGTGCAAGAGAATATATGCAGTGCATATGTATATTGTGCAGGTATGAGCACAAATGTTTTAAACCTTTTAAATTATTCAGATGTGTCAAACACCCGCATGAAGAGGAAAGTACATAACATGTATAGAGTGCATGTTTACAAGGTACACATTTAGAATTCAGGTGTGTAGAGACCGTGTGGAGCATATGTGTACTAGTTACAGGTATGTGTGGGCAACGCACAAGCTACAAGTGTGTACAGTAAAGCTGTGTGTGTATATTATATATATATATATATATATATATATATATATATATATATATATATATATATATATATATATATATATATATATATATATATATATATATATATATATATATAATGTTCAGAGTGCAGGCACACATAATACTCACCGTTTTGAGGCCTGTCCATGTGGGTGGTACACTTAGGATGTCACTAGTTATCCCCAACACCTTAGTGGTGTAGTTCAGGGCCTGAACCACACGCTGCTCGGTCTCATTTATCTCCTTTACCTGTGGATGACAGGTGTGTCAAGGTTCAGGTGTGTGGCAGGGACCAGGAGTGCCGTCCAGTGTACCAGGATGTGGGCGTGTATCAAATAGGCAAGTCATCCCCATCTTAAAACTATTGCGATATTACATGATTTTCTGTACCTAATATTGGAGGAATCTGCAGAGTCTATTGACACTTGCAACAATTAAGCAATTATCAGGAAAAAGCCTGACTACATAACACTTGGAAGATATACGAGGACAGGATAGCAACTAGCGTGCGAGGATGGAATAAAATAACAGCACCCAACCACATGTACCATCAAGGGGGATCGAACGCTGTCCCTGCATAACACAAAACCGTCACTGTACCGACCGACCAGTCCAAGTGGATGAACAAGACCAATATTGTGCATATTGACCAGACCACACACTAGAAGGTAAAGGGACGACGCAATCGACTTGAGAATGGTCCAGGACGGACCGAAACGTCGTCGTCCCTTCACCTTTTAGTGTGTGGTCTGGTCAACATACTTTAGCCACGTTATTGTGACTCATCGACTGTCGTACATTTGTCTAATCAACACTTTAAACTCTAGCTATTCTATTCACCTGGGGTCTAGGAGACTCGAACCTGTTGTTGCTTTAGATTCAGCTACTTAGAACAAAAGTTCCAAAGTAGCAAGGGCTATGGTGAGCCCGTAGGGAACTTGCCTGGCACAGGAGCGGGGCTGTAACTCTAGACTCGAACCGCGATCTCCCGGGTTTTATAACTAGTGATCCCACATCTTACACGTTACCCAAACTTAACCTTTACAATCTAGTCTAGTAGTTTAGTCGTTAATGTTACCAGTTTGAGAGCGAGCGCGTTGGTCACATTTCAGGGACATTAATTGCTCACTAATAATGTATGATAATGCGCGTCCGGTTAGCCTTGCATAAATTATATTAAATGCGACGTTTTTTCATTCAATTCATGCAGTTGAAAGTTGCAATTAGTGAGGCACTTATTGCCAGAGTGCGCGGTACCATTGAAGAGTGGGGGGGGGGGGGTACAGCGGTACCACTGAAGAGTGGGGGGGGGGGGAATGGTACAACATGCAAGGCGGGGATGGTATAATAATCAATTGAACAATTTAGCTGAACTTCTCTGCATTCGTTCAAGTCATATCAACACAAGTTTTCCCCTGTAGTTTATTATTTAGCATTAATTGTGTGCTATTTGCTATTTTAGTTAGGTGCATAGTGATGTAAACACTGCAGCAAGAAATCAAAATCTATAACATACACATGTACACAGATGCACGATTAGAGTCCAATTGGCTCGGGAATCTGTGCACCAGTTGATTGACAGTTGCGAGGCGGAACCAAAGAGCCGAAGCTCAACCCCCGCAAGCATAAATAGGCGAATACGCGCACACAACCCGTTTCAGAATGTGTAACATCGTCACTGAATCCCTATCTGGCGAGGCTTTAAGAACATTTTGAAATCGTTGATGGTTGCTTGCAACAAGACAGATTCCATACATACAGAAACTAAGCCATGCCAAGTTAGGCAACTCAATCTAACCACTTAGAAAATCCCCCAGAAAAGACATGATCACGACGTACATGTTATTGCAAGGGATAGGGAGGTGATCATGGACAGTCTTTTCCAGAAAAAGAAAAATAGGATACGAAATCATAAGAAAAGCCAATGGGACGCAGCTCTTATATATTCAACCACTCCAACTGGTCAACTTATCCAAACATGCTTGAAACGGTTTATGTAACATTAAGCAAAATTTGTTCTACAGATCTGCAGTTTAATTTCCGAAAGAGTCCTTGCCCATTTCTTCTCCGAATCTAACTTATACGATATGAATGAACTTTGCGTTCTAATTGCAATAATACTTCTTGAAGTACATTTAGACCAAGTTAAACCCGTTCACCCATCTGTATACATCAGTGGTGCTCCCTCTAGCTTGAGGAAATTTAAATCGAGTTTTCTTCGTTCAGCTTCACAAGGGACGTTCCTAATGCCAGGGATTAACTTGGTTATTCTTCACTGTATTCTCGAGGGGGAAGCCGGAGAGGGAGGGGACACAGGCGGAGGTTGTAAACACAAGAGGATCAGATATGGACAAGTACAAAGTTGTGTTGTTGTGTTGGGAGAATTGAATACATCAAGGGGATATTAACCAAGAGGCGGAGCTTTACAGTTGGCTGTAACTCCCTGTAGGTGGTAACAGGTAAATACTTGTACGTAATAACTAAAATCTCAAACTAAATCACACACAAATATCACAAAAAATCTAAACAAAAAAATAAACACCAAAACATTGAGAAAATCTTTAAGAACTGAGCGGGTGACCTAGGATATATTATCTATAATCCAGGACGATTTGGTAATGCGTGCATGATTAGAATCGAATTATGGCAGCGGGTTAAATTTTAATCACTCTATCCTGAAGATTTCTCCCAAGAAATATCACGCTTTTGTGATTTCATTATATACTTAAAGGAATCATAAACATTTGAAGTGGTATAAAGAAAAAGAGTAACAAAGCCGAGGTAGCAGAAGCCACCTCCATACACTATTCTGAGAACATGCAAGATACAGCTCTCTAACACAGGGGAATACACTGGCCTAATACCCAAAAGAAAAGAGGTGTATAAGAGGTGTAAACAACGCCCAGAGACCTTACCTGGTCTTGAAAGAGACTATTAAGGTTGGAAACAACACCATTTAGAGTGCTGAGGTCATTATAGGTCAGCTGCTGGTGCTGAAGAGTGTTGTTCTTGACCTGATCAGCTATGGCAACGGCCGAGACGTTCCTCGACTCTACCTGCGGGGTCAAACCCACCTGAATACAACTGTCCTGGAGATTGAACTGCTAATTATATATCTGGAGCCAAACAACTGATAATATGACCTTTAGGGGTGAAACAGGCGAGCAACTGAACACCTTGGGCAAACAGTTTATTATTTAATTAAATACTGCGGGTAGACAACTCAACCACTCCTCTTAATAGGTCGCGTCTTTTGACGTTATGGTAACTAACGATACAAATACAACCTATTACGAGAAGTAAAGGCTGACATATTTTACGTTTTCTATGCTTCGGACTCTGTCGGTTAAGTAGGTTGCTTGGGCTCGTAATTTTCTGATACATATGTTGAATTAATTAACAGGAATCTAATATGCCACTTTACAGGCAAACATTAATTTACAAGGTCAATATTCTAATTTACAAGGTCAATATTCTAATTTACAAGGTCAATATATTAATTTACAAGGTCAATATACCAATTTGTCCAGCAACCTCACTTCTTCAAGCATTATGCATTGTTCGCAATCAACAGTATTATTAGTGAATTGCGAACAGTCGTCGTGCCCCGCTAACCCACCTAGTGTCCCACCAAGTCCTCCTTCGTCTCACCATGTCCTGGACGTCTAGGATCCAGTTAAGAACGCAGGAGTCTGTAGTGACCACCAGTGATGGACCTGTAGCATCACATCCCAGCTCCAAGCTGCCGGAGTACCCAAGAAGGCAGCCTACCTCCACCACCTGCCCTGGACACACTTCGCTCACTCCACGCTGTAACTCGACCAAAATTTATCACATTACATAAATTACAAAAAAAAAGGGCTGGTAGAAGATTACCCTAAACCGTGCATGTTTGGCACATGCCAAACAGGAATTAATATGAATAATTGGTTGAGCCTAGTCTCAAGGGTCTCGCCTCCAACCGCAGACTAGTTTCAGTTTATAAATATAGTTTAGTAACTTACCGGCATATTCGTCAGTGTTCCACTGGCTAGCTCTGTTAGATCCATCACATTCGTCTGTGGCAGCTGGCAGCATCCTGGAATAATGGGCAGCGTTTAATGAAGTGTGACAATTTGGATATTTTAAAAGCATTTTTAAGTACAAAGAAAAGCATCGATGTTCGTCTGTGCATTCATACATACATTTTAATAATATTGATGTCAATAAAATAAAGAGTGCCTGTGTGTTTATCTGGCCAAAGTAGGAAGCCAGGATGCCTCGACCAACTTTCCAAGATAACACATGGTGGGAGGAGGGGAAGGGGAGGGTGTGTGTCATAGGCTACCTTGAGGCTACCTTGAGGTGCTTCCGGGGCTTAGTGTCCCCGCGGCCCGGTCGTCGACCAGGGCCGCGTCAGTAGGCCAGTCAGGGGTCTGTTTCAGTGCTGCCGTTTAAGAAATATCGGCACCTATAGATATCCTCTGTGATTTTTATGAGGCCTTTAGTCCAGGTGATATGCTTTTTGGCAGCATTTGTAATAGTTTTTTCAGTGCTTCGTAATATCTTTTCTGAGAGGGAGAGGCGTTACGGGAGAAGGAAGGAGAAAGGTGCGGAGGATGGGAGAGTGGGGAAATAGATAGAGACGTGGGAGATAAGGGAAGAGAGGAGTGATGACGGAGATGGATGGGGACATTGATGGAGAGGGGGTGGGAGGGGACATGAAAATACAGAGGAGAGGGGGGAAAAGGGAGACCCTGAAACAGCAGAGTACCACATCTTGTACGATAAATATATACCACATGCATTCAGATATCCCTTCCCCCAAATCTGAAATATTTTAATGAGAGCAGCATGCGAGTGTATATTCCCCCAACACTCACCCCTAGTGGGTGCAGGGGTACGTTTATGACTACATACGCTTCCTTACACTTTATGCCTACTACTCACCCAAGATCTTTTCCACTTACGGGCTATTCATGCCCGTGTCACGTCCTGGTTGGCTTAAACTTAATCACCAAGATCTTATCATTCCACACTAAACAACCATCACTCACCATCAGGGGTCTTTGATGTAGTGGATAAAGACGATGTAGTCGTGACTGTAGTCGACGAAGGGGTCTTAGATCCTTGTGTCGTGGTGGTAGTAGTGGTCGTGGAGGTCTGGGGTGCAAGAGTCGTGAAGTTCATTTTAGTTTCGCAGATGACGTAACCAGTCATAATTATTGCAGATTTCTTTGCATTGTAGCTCAGGAGGCCCCATTCCTCGTAGGTGTTTTCTACCGAAGAAAATAGTTTTCGAAGTTACTCATAAGAGAAAACGGGAATAAAAATACATAACAGTGGGGGGGGGGAGAGGGGGTGACCTTTGCAGTCTATTCAGAGGTCATGTTAGAGAACGATCTATCGAGTCCCGTTTCTATTCTAAAAGTAAGAGGTCAGAATAATAAAATGACAGTCTTTCTTCACTATTTTCCACTTCCTCCGACAACAACCTTCGTGACCAATATATCCGGATCGAAGTATAGCGAGTCTTTTTATAAACAAAGTGACAACATCGTAACTAAGTGAAAGACGCCGATATCTTAATCCCAGAATTTTATTTCCCCCCTCTCCCACTTGTTCACTTTCCTCCCAACCATTTTTCTCTCTACTTTATTTGTTTACCATCCTGTCGCTTATCGCTTTCTCAGCAGTGTCATGGTATCCTTAACTACTCCTCACCACTTTTCTCTCCCATCTCATCCACCCTGTCCTGTCCACTTTTGACTTCTATCCCCAAACCTTCAATTTCCTTACCAGCGTCACACGACATCTTGAAGTCGCCCGGGAGGAGCAGAGCGTAATTTATTCGTGGCATGATGTGCTGCTCTGCCTCGGGCATTCCTGTGTTGGGGTCGAGCACGACGATTCCCTTCTCAGTCACGGATGGGTCCACTGCAGTGTCCCATCCTGTCCACTCTCCTGTAGGGCGGTAAAGGGGGGAAGCGGAGGCATCTCTTACTATACATTCATCGTAAACAAACCGAGATGCTATGTTGGTCTGAAGCTTAGTATGCAAGGGTGATACAATGCTTACTATAGCAATCAACACCATTTCAGTGTTCAAAAGACATCAAGATGCATATATTGCAAGGATTTATTTCCCCCCCTGAGAGCATATTCCATGCATCAGTTTTCTATATCGTAATTTTCCCTTAATTATGAAGTAAGTACTTATCAAAGAAGACATCAAGCCGGGTAGGCTATGTAGCACATTATGAAACGCCGAGATTTCCGAACGGTTGTTCTGACACACTATAGAGCTAGTCAACTAATAACTATTTCAGTCTCACACAAGCTTACGATCATTAGATTTTAATGTTATACACAATTATGTATTAGTATACAAAAAGCTAAGAAAATTTCAGTTATTTAAGATAGATATCTATCTAACAGTGCTATTTACATTAGTAATCATTCGTACCCAGAAATGTATCCTGGCAAGGTTGTCTCTGTACACTCACCTAAGTTGCATCTCCTAGCACTCATTCGTTTTGTCATCGATCGTCTAAAGAAACTGTTCCCAATCCCCTCGTTTTCTTTCAAATCCAGTGTTAACTACTCCCTCTTCTCGTCGTTTCATGGTCCCATTACTCAATATTATAATGATTCATTTTGTCTAGCTGCCATCAATGGCCTTTCGTTTAAGAGTATTTTAAGCCTGTAATGTCTGCCTGCCTCTCTCATTCCCATCGTCCCCCCTCTCTATTCTTTTCCTCCCCAAACCCCCCCCCCCTCCCCGTAACTTCCTCTAACACTATTATTTGTAATTCTCTCGTCCCATCGTCATTAGTCCATTCCACGACTTACTCCGAAGCAAATTCCTAAACTCTTTCTAGTTTCTCTGTTGCTTCAGACTAGGGGGCTCCTCCACAGACGCCGCTGCACACTGGGGACCCCATCGAATGGAACTTTTGGTTCTTAAAAGCTGTTCTTCCTGCCGCTGCAGGTGTGCACTCGCGTCTCTCCGATTGCAGGGTTCAAGCTTTAACGTTCAGTTGGGACAGTCGAAGTTTATCACACCTACTTTTGACTATAAATACGGACTTCGAATTATCGCTTCCTAGTTTGTTCACCTTCCTTACTATATTATAATCTCTAGGTTGCTTCTGGTTCATCTACGCGTTCAGCATCCCTATATGTACCTTGGTCTTTTTTTTTTAATAGTGCCATTGTTCATCTTATCTATATCCTGGAGAATTTTGGAGAGAATGATCGTGTCCTTGTCTTATTGTAACAAGACTGAGAAACAGTGAGTTACATTAGCTTTTCATTGTAGTGTATGCCATTCAATTCATGGCCTTTTCATCTCAAACTATTGGGTATCTAATGGAATAACGACTGACTATTTTAGTGTGCGTGTATGTGTGTGTGTATGTGTTTGTGAAACATTACCAGTCACGCCGTTGTGGATCTTCAATTGGTCTTGGTCTTCGCTCATCACCAGGCCGGAGGTCAGAATGTTTGTCATGTTCTTCGTTCCTGCAAGAACGTTATGCTAAACTGTTAAACGTAGATACCAATAATGCAGGGATTTTGTGCATGTACATAATCAAAAGCACGCGCACACTTCACAATAAACCGCTGGGGTTTGCTACACAATTATTCCCAGAACCGACAGTACTGGAAAGCATACAGTGAACAATGAGCTATATCACGATGACCTGTAGGGACATGATTTGGACATACAAAATTATTAGAGCTGTATAAACTGGATACGGAAGAGCCACCGGGGTGTAGTAAAATTTCGTCAGCGTACGGGCCGTGAAATAATGTAATAAATTGAAAGGGAAAATAATAGAGGACAGATCAATCCATTATTAAGCAGGTTTAAAAAGTTAATATGCATTCATATAACAAAAACCCATAACTGATATTGATCAAACCACACTAGAAAGTGAAGGGACGACGATGTTTTGGTCCATCCTGGACCATTCTCAAGTCGATTGTTTACAATCGACCTGAGAATGGACCAGGACGGACTGAAGCGTCGTCGTCCCTTCACTTTCTAGTGTGTGGTTTGGTCAACATATTTTAGCCCCGTTATTGTGTAATCCACTGACCTCCAAAGTTGGTGTTGTTGCACAGAAGGCAGGAGACCAGGAAATGCAGCTCCTCCCTACTCTCAATGCCTACCCTCTTGCTCTCTCCTGTACATACCTCTGAGTCCACGTAATCGACCGTGCTCTGCACGGTCTCCTTTGAGACTAAATCTGTACAAGATACAAAAAAGCTGTAAACACTGGAGAAAAGAGAGAGAAAGAGAAAAAGAGAAAGAGAGAGAGGGGGGGGGGAGAGAATATGGTAGTGTAGTTAGGAGGGCGTTGGGAGAGGGTGACAATGCTACTGGGTTGGGTTTATATGAAGGGAGGAACATGGATGTTTACCAAATTTGAAATTAATTAAATTAGATTATCCTTAAGGCTTTTTTTTTAGCATTTCTTAATTTCCAAGGATCGACCTGTTGAAGTGTACTTATTTTTCCTTCTCGAGTCAATCTTGCGATAATTTATTTTCTTTGTTAATATCACACTATTGACATATTTGAGAGATTGCCTTAATTATTAAGCATTTATTAAATTAGCTTAGAAAATGCTGATGAATAATCAGCCTGTTTAGGTTAGAATTGTTAGATACCGACGTTTAGTGTTCAAAATATATAATTCATATCTGAAGTGTTCAATCAACTGTATTTACCAACAAGAAAAACAGCTGAACAAATTAATTTATTGAATTCCTCAAGCATGCCTAAAGAGCACGAGATTATTATATATATATATATATATATATATATATATATATATATATATATATATATATATATATATATATATATATATATATTATAAAAGTAGTCTCAATATATCAGTAACAGTTAAAGTCAATATTATACAAAATAAATGCTAAAATTAGAGCAAATGTAATACAAACATTTTTATGCAAATTCTCAAGTTAAAGTTGCTCCCACGAAGACTTTTGAGGTACAAAAAAAAAAAAAAACTTAGCTGTCTGGAAGAATTTGCATAAGTAATTTGCCCCCAACTAAACTTGCAGGAGATGGTTCATGGGTGGAGGTCCCCTTCCCTCCCTCCCCCCCCTCCTGACTTCACCGAATTACATAGTTCTTTTTAATGATTGTGTTAAAACAATATTAAAATAATAACACTTTATTCACAAGTTTTCATAAATTAATAATTCCGTTTATATATAAAAAAATTATACGTCGAAATAGTATAATAATATAATGAATACTCTATAGAGAGCTTAATTTGTGAGCGATGTATATATATATTCCAGTTTTGGAAAGGAAAGCCTTATTTATTTATTAAACAGCTTACGAGCTTGGGAAAGCTATAAGGTCGCTCTCTACCTACCATTGTTATTGTCATAGACATCCTCGTAGCTCTTCAGTGCTCAAACTGTTTTCATAAATACAAACTACCTTCTTTAATTAGGGAAAGTTGAATAGGTTTCGTAAGCCAACACCCAAATTTTTTTTTCTCGAATTAAATATTTCGTCATGATCTTAATGCTTTAATAAGATATTACGCCTCACTTCTAGCGAGTTAAGACGCTTCCTTCCTCCCCCATCCCATCCCAAATCCTTATCCTGATCCCTTCCAAGTGCTATATAGCCGTAGTGGCTTGGCACTTACTCCTGATAACGATGGAAGGGAAGGGAGCTGAGGGCTGACGAGTGAGGAAGCTGTATATCCTATCAGTGTTTGACATTTTGATTATATTATTTACAAATAAAAATGTAAATGATAGAGTACATCAAATTTTATTGCACCAGAGTTTAGTTTCCAGGCAAGGCAAGACGTTTTGGTTAGTTTCCCAACACCTGGAGCCTTCAGCAGTAAATGGATATCCGGGAGTTAGTCCACTGTTGTGGGTGGTACTCTTGGGGAAAGTCAGTAGTTGCCCGGGAAAAACCCCAACAAGCTTAATAGGCTTCCTTTTTATAACAACTATAAGCCATATAAGATAACGGTACACTGCTAGAGTGTGGCCACACACACGGACGCCCTGGTACACTGCAAGAGAGAGTACTTTTTTTTTAAGCTGCTGAAATATCGCCTGTATGCTCAACCAAAAACACAACCACGACCCATTTCGGTATTACAGCTATTATGAGTTACAAGGACTTCTCTGTAACTTACCGCGAACTAGGTACGAGCTTCCAATTTCGAAGTTGTAGCAGATTTTGTTGGGACAAAAACAACGGAGGTTGGAGTTGACGTAGGGAGACTTGGCCATCGTAGCTGAAGTCCCGGCAGACAAGACCTGCGCCACTGGACGTTTGGTATCTGTGGCTGCTGAACGAACGTTGCTGTTTGGTTGACTCAAGTGAATTGAAGCTTCTCCCTGGCCTTGAGACAGATTCTCGAGTGCTCTGCTATTAATCTCCGATGATTTGGAGCCTATTGAAAGGGAGTTAGTGTCCATGTCATAGGCTTCAGAGACTGTTGGAGATGATTCAGAACCTTTTGTAGAGACTTCTATAGGGATTTTAGAATCAACAATAAAATCCCGAATGCCAAAGAGTGGAGACGCAAGGTCCTTATTAGATGTAACAAGTTTCAGCGCTGAAAAGCTGGTCTGACTTGCGCTTCTCTTGTTTAGGTCCCACGGTGACGTTATGTTAATTCTCGTCCAATCTCTACCGTGTTCAGGTCTCCTCCACGATCCCTTGTTATTGATCTGCCTCTTCCAGAGACCTCTACGATCAGGTTTGCTAATCCATATCTTATTGTAGGCAAATTCACCGCGAACATTATTATCAGAATGGGATTCTCTCGTAGAGGGCAGCGCCCTCTCTGTAAAGTAGCGTATGGGGTGGTCTTTTATGTGGTGGTTGATGGCGGCAGTGGTGTAGGAAAAGGACGACCACAAGGACACTACCGCAACCCACAAAAGCAACAGTTCGTAAGTCACTTTCATCGTGCTTTTAAGTCCCTTGGCTTGTGGTTCAAGCGCGCAGACTTCTGGCTTCAGAAGGTCGAGGTGTTGGGCGTGTCAGGGAGTCTTCTGCTTTAAGAGAGCCATGATGCAACTAGTGACTAATAGTTTGACAGCACAGGTGCTCGAACTGGAGCAGGGCAAACAGAGCTGCACTTATTCTGCGTTATTTTCATATTAAAATTGCCTTTAACACAGATTTGTAAATCGGCAAATTAGTTACTTTACAAAGAAACATGCCAGTCTGCAGTTTCTCTCTCTCATTACGTTTCGTACACTTTATACGAAGCTAATGGCACTGTGAGAGGATAAACCAGTGGAAGTTAAAAGAAATGTCCTTCCGTGAACCTCACCCCTTCCAAGACAACGGGTGACTGGTGGTCGGTTTCACACTGGGAACCTCAGTATGTTACCAAGTCACAGAGTTGACTTTCCTTCCACTTTAAAATGTTTACCTTCATAATTAAAACCAACAATAAAAATCACGCTCTTGTCCGATTACAGGGATGTGGATGTAAGCCGAGTCTCTCTTTCGTAGCGACTTAAAAAAAAAAAAACGAGCAAAATAATTTGTTTACAAGAAAAGTACCTGGCAACTAATGCAATCTTCGATAAGTAATGTGTTATCACTTGCTCACAAATATTCCTTTACCTTAAGGGGAATACCAGAGACTAGTACTCGATCCATGGTATCGAGATAAAAATTACTATAATAATAATAAAGCCTAACATGACAGGCAAGGACAAGAAAACTTCTCAATAATCCCACAAAAATAATGGAAAAATATAATAATTTATTTAAAAATAATCTTCATATGCTTCAGAGCTTAGGAGAAAAGCCTTAATGCCATTCGTCTCTTGACGGTGACGACGTGCTAATTCCCACAGAGTAAATTTAGCCCCTCACCGGGTGGTCAGAAGCAAGGTGTTCGATACAGTGCAAGGAATTCAGCATATTTCGCTTCCAGTAGATAAACGACATATGAGATAAAGAAACAAGTAGTGTATTGTGAAGACTAATAATAAACAGAAGCTACCCCTATGACTATCTCCATTAGTCAAACTATTATGTATTAGCAATAAGACCTACCATTAATGTATAATGACTTACTATAAATATATAACTCTTGAAATAGCACTTCCTCTGTAACTAGCTGACATTGTAACTATATGGTGTGAAGGATAGATGAAATTGTTTCTGTAATAATCTAAGATGAGGTCTGATAAAGACCTTTTGTGCCCTCTGCAATGCTTTTTACGCTACCGCTCACAGGATGGGTATGGGGTGCACAATAAACTAGCCGCCTCCAGCGGCAACAATCAAAATCAAGCTGTTCGACTGTGAGGCGACTGTGAGAAGCGACTGTTTTACAACAGACGAATCTTGTGGATCTTGAGCCCTGGTCTTCCACAGAGAAGAAGCACAGAGCATCACAAACCCCGAAAAGAACTCTTGGCTAGCATTAAGCATCACAAGTTCCGGAACTAAACCACAGCACCAGTTACGAGCATAACAAGCACTGGAAACGAATCCTTGGCTAGTAGCACCGAGCACTACATGCTCCGGAACCGAGCCCTTGACAAGCTAGATAACACACTCCTAGTTATTTCTAACAGTAACAAATAATTCTAACTTTCAACGCTTGTGGAATTGATCATGGTCTGACAGAGTGCTTGTGAGGATTTAGATCATTTATTCTCTTGTTAGGCAAGCCAATTTAGTAGTTTGATTGTTTAATAGGAGAGGCAGGGGGGGGTGAAGGGAAGGGTTGAGCTGGGGGGATGAAGGGAAGGGTAGAGCTGGGGAGGGAGGGGTGAAGGGAAGGGTAGAGCTGGGAGGGAGGGGGAGGGGGTAGAGATGAAGGAAGAGTTGAAGATGATCGAGCATGGCATGATAACGTTATCTCACATTGACTGAGCCAGTTGGGCGACACGCTCTTCGTATTTGTGGCTATATAATGTATATTTCTTACATGATTAGTGGAAAATTCATATCAAAATGCACTTTCATAAATTATTATTATTATTAGTATTCATATGTTTAGTTATACATGCGGTTTATTTTTGCTTGATAGTTTACTCCGCTTCCGCACAGAGAGAGGCAGATTGTATGAGCGTGAGAATAAGTGAATGTAGGTCAGAGAATGTGAGTGAGAGAGTGTTAATGAGTGAGCGAATGCGGGTCACTTACATGTTCTTTTGTAGTGTCTATTTTCACTTTCTCCACTTCTTTAAACCATTGTTTCCTCTGATCATACCAAACTATAACAAATATAAGAAACTACGCCTAAACCTATATTTTTTTAACACTCGCACACACTTAAGATACCCTCTCGAAAATTTAGCCTACCAACTAAATATAGGCAAATATATGTTGGTTAGCATTAGCTTACGGTCAAAGCGCATATTTGCGTTCGAAATTAAACCTGAAATATACAGGTTTCGCAAGATGACACCAAATCATCACCTCGTGATGAATCGAGGAGCTTCAGCTCCTGTGTCCCGCCTCATGACCTACGCTCAACTGGTTAAGGCGTATCCCATTCTCCAGGGTCCCACCTGCCTCTTTAATTCATCAAAATTCATACGCAGATACGTGCGTATGTGGGCGTCGAGGTTACCGGTATCTTTATTAATGTTAAAAATAATAATTCTGTTGCAGCTTTAATGCTTTTATTAATACTGAATCAATCGTTGCTTTGTGGGATTTAACTTATTTCTGTTCCCTCGATACTTATCAATCTTATCAGTTGACGTCACTGAGCTTATCTCTTGGAATTACAAAATCAACACGTACGTACGTGTGCATGATGAATTTGTGCGCGCGTTTATGTACGCATATTTGGCCGTTAGTGTTCATGGCTAGATACAAGCAGCTCCCTGTTTCAACGTCTCTTGTGTGGTAGTCCAGTGGGGCTACGCTGGCTTCATGTTCTGTTTCCCTTGACTTCTAAAGATCTCTGGAAGATTCACAACTTCTAACTTTTCCTTGTTATCGTAAACTTGCCACTAATTCATCTTATAACTAAAAGCTCAAAATAAAATAATGGGTAGGAAGTAGAACAGTTAAACTTACACTGGAAAGGACATCCCTATTAATGCTATTTGATGAAATGGTTCGTAAATAGCGCTAACAAAGTGTGAATAGGGATTTCCATCTTTATTAATCTACTTTACCGAGCCTCAAAACATTACCTACAATTTGTAATGAAGGTCTTTGATATAACGCTTAAATAGCGATTGTCCATTAATCTGTAAATCAGGCTTTTGATCATTTTTTCCAAAAATATTGAAATTAAAGTCTCAGAATATTCTGGAAGAAAACCTTATTCCTTTCATCCTACAACCTGCTCTTCGCCCTCCTCCAGTCATAATACAAAACTACCCCGCTCCTCCAAGCATATATACACACTTACAGCCCCGCTCCTGTGTCAGGCAAGTCCAATACGGGTTCACTATAGCCAACCCGTCCTCGACTCAAGTCCATTACATTCAGCGGTCAACCCCACAGACGCATTCATAAATTTTAACATGCTGTTCATTCAAAACGGGAATTCTCAAGTATAAATTAATATTATAATATATTAGCATATTGTGTATATATAGGCATAGGATAGGTTAGGTTAGGTGTTTGGGTTCTGTTGGCGATTATTTGTATTTGTAGTACGTGGGTGAAGCATTTATAGCGTTGTGATTCGAACAAAATTCGTCAGTGAAGCACTTGTTCCGGATATGTTCGAACGTCAGCAGTTGTGAGTCGTGTGTAAACCGCTTTTCATTCATAAACAGGGGGTTTGGCGGGTGCATGGAATCACTTTTGGATCTTTGTTTGGAGGACGGGCTCACTATAGCCCGTGCTACTTGAAGCTTTTTGTTCCGAGTAGCTGAATCTTAAACAACAACAACATCCAAGCATAATATTCCCCCCCCCACGCTCCTCCAAGCATAATTCAAGCCCCCTCGCACCATCTAATGCCCTGGATGCGTTTCCTCCGATAATCTTCCAGCACAAGTGTTTTTTGCTGGGTTTATCAGAACTGACTCTTGTACCTGATACTGTAGGTTTATTTCGGTAAAGTCAACACCATTATGGTGTGAAAATCAATCTTCAACTTTCCAGATTCTACATCATTAAAACCTTGATAAATGTTATCTTAATGCCAACGAAAACACAGATACAAATTTATTTAAATTAGATAGCCTCTAAAAGCTCTTGCAAAGTACAGGCGATATCAACCTTGTGCTTACCTCAAGATGTTTTAACACGACTTTTTATATTAAAAAGTTTAGACAACTTTATACTTTTCCCTTAAAAAGTTTATATAAAGTTGTTCTTGTATATTAACTAACATGCTACAGCAATGTGACTACTGTGTTCCAGTGAATATTTGATCATACGGACTTGTGACTTGTCGACCAGGCTGCAGAGTTTATCCTTGCATTGTATCTAGTCTCTCATACGAGACCAGGATTCATTAAACATTTACACCTCTATTTTCGAAACCTGTTCATCTTTCAACAATCAGGGCAGCTTTGTTTACATTTATTAAACAGTTTAGGAGCTTGGAGACTTCACAACGCAAGGCTATCATTGTTATAAACAACCTCATAGTGTTTCGAAGCTCTTAAAATGTTTTACAAATGCAAACTAAGACGCCATGATTAGGGGGAATATATACAAGTTTCGTATATGAAATTCCATGTTGATTTCCGTAACTAATAGGGTCCACAATGAAAGGTTATATGGTACAGAAGGAAGCAAATATGCAATATAGAAGTGAACGAGTTAGTCTGTGAGGATGATAGAAATAGCGTAAGATACTATTCTTTTGGGATGTGTATCATCTCAATAAACTTACTTGAACTCGAGCCCGTCATTTACAGGACTGATTAAAATAGCTTCTACGTATTTTTGCTAATATTACACACGCAGAGTTTATTATTAGGCATGTTAAAACCTTTGCCCTTTCTTAAAAATAGAGTAATGCTAGAAGCTTGGCCGCTCTTAATCTTGTTCAATGCCATGATGCAATATATATAGTCAACTCAAAATTGCTAAATGTTATACGAATATTTAGGAATAGACGGTATTAAACCATGACCTTGCATCAAATATTTCCAAGCCGAGTCCTTTATGATATAGAGTTCAAATAATATACATTCATGTTCCTTCCCCCCCCCCTCCTCCCCTGCGATCGTTTGAGATTTGAACTTGGGCCCGAAATACACGAGCCGTTAGACTAAGACTTCTAAAACCCCGCCTGGAGTACCACCATGGTGCCTGGCGGAGAGCCACTCCCCCTGCCCTCAAATACCATACACTCACAATATCGTGGATAATACGACAGGAACAGAATGTTTCTCCATCTCCACGAGATCTCACAAGTTGTGCACGA